ACATAATTTTTTTATAAAAATTTGGCTAAATTTGATCCAGTAGACCAAATTGGATAATTTTGGTACCATTCGAATCGTCTCGAGGAGAGGAGTCGAATGGTACTAAAATCATTTGATTCAGATCACTGGATCATGTTTTATTAACGAAATACTATTGGTTATTATGTTTTCTTATAAAATTACTATTAAATCAATAGTTCTTCGTTAATAAAACGTTATCCAGTAGTCCAAATAAAATGATTTTAGTACCATTGGATTCGTCTCACAGAGACGAATCGAATGGTACCAAAAGCATCCTGATTAGATCACTGGGTCATAATATATTCAAGTTTTTATAAAATTATATATATAAACATATAAATTTTTAAAAATTTTTTATATAGCCTAGGGGGGGGTTAAGAGCTACTATGTAGAAGTACATAACGTTATATATAGATGCCTCCTTTCTAGAGTTGTATCTTATGCAACAGGACCTTAGTGAGCTAGCTTAGGCAGAACATGATTCGGATTTATCGAAACTGTCTGGGCTAATAAGGAAATTCCGTATTGCTTTATTTAAACAACTAACTATAGAATCTTTCTTTGAGCTGATCGTATAATGTATATATAAAATAAAATATTTTTTATAATATCCTCTCTACTTTCAAAACTCCCTATTAAACAAAAAAATTTAACTAGACGCCAGAAATAATAATAGCTTAAATTAAAAAATGAAAAAAAACTTATCTTTTTTAAATTTATGTTGGCGTGTCAATTTCAACCTAATTAAGGTTTATTAAGCTTCATTTATTTATTTTTTTTCTGATCAAAGAATAGAAGAGTTTTAAACGATATGTTTAGTTAACAAGGCCTTAAAAAAATATAAATAAAGCTAGATCTTGAATTCATATAAAAATTTTAATAAAGCATAAATCGCACTACTTTTTTGTTCAAAAGTTTAGTTAAGTGAAGCTAAATGACTAAAGGCGAAATCAAAAGTATAACTTAAAATTGAGTATAAGTGAATAGTTAAGTATTAATAAATTCAGTTCAAAAAAAAAAAATAACTGCTTTAATACAATAATACGTATCTACAAATAAGAAAAATTTCATTATTATTAACCGATAATCTTATCATATGACATATATATACTATAATATTATTTTGCTATTGGTTACTCTCTAAATGCAACTCTCTCTAAATGCATACTTTGGGGTTGGTCCCAACAGTATGCATTTAGGGAGGTCTAACTGTAGCAAGTTTTTCTTTCACTACTGAAAGAGAGAAATAGCTTGTCAGAAGTAGATTTGGTGGCATAATCAAGTATAATAATTCAATATTCTTTTTTTTTATTACAGTAATATATGTTGCAATTCCTCTTCGATTGTATTAGTATATTTTCTTTTATCACTAAAATAGGGAAGTAGATTGTCAGCAAATGGAGTTAGTGGCATATATAGTATAATTTGTTATTGTTTATATTTTATTATTTGGTAACTTGTAAATATTTACTATTACATTTTATTTCTATTGTAACTTTATAATACTATCTGAAACTTATGATCTGCAATTCAATATATAATGTAATTTTATAGGTATGCACAATTATATATTTCATTCAATATATTAAATATTTTAATTTTAACTCATAGTAACGAATCATAGTAGTATTGACAAGTAAGGCACAAACTATAAGATTAAGTGTAGTGGTTTAGATTTACTATAAATAGCATTTACAAAGAGCATTTATTTTGTGAAAAATTTGGTTAGGTATTTGAAAATATATGTATTAAATATAATAAAAGTTTAAATATTTATTTGTATATTAAAGCTTCAAATATAAAATTTATTTATTATATAATACTATTTATAAACCATATTATTGACAATTAGTAATATTTTGAAAATGTTTCACTTTGGCAAGTCCATTTTACTAGAGCAAATTATTTGAAATTGCAGTTATAATAGTTACACAATCACATATTAATAAAATCAATAAAACTTGCAAAATCAGCTATGAAGAATAAATAATAGCTTTGCTACAAAATTCCAAAAGACAAAATTCCAAAAGGATATAATACCAATAAAGTTAGCTAGCATTAGTGATAATGCTAGCCAATTTAGTTGATATTATATTTTTTCGAGATTTTGTCTTTCAGGATTTTGTATAGTGCAGACAACCTAGTCTCGACAAATAAAATTTTCTAACAGCCAAATTTGAAATCTTATGTAATATGGCCAAATTTAATATTTTTATTATATGCGGCCAAATTCGATATTTTCATTATATATAGCCAAATTCGATATTTTCATTATATATAGCCAAATTTAATATTTTCATTATACATATATGCCAAATTCGATATTTTCATTATATATAAATTTATTTTATATGTATAATGATGAGGAATGAGAATTCAGGAATTTTTTATAACACTGGATCTAGTCCCTAAAAATATTTAATCGGTAATCTATGATAAGTAATTGCTTATTAGACGTTAAGGCCGATAAGTTATAAACTTAAAATATCTTATTTTCTCCTTAAAGTTGCATATACAATGCATTAAGACAAATTTGAATTGAATATAGAGTAGCCACTAGACTAGAGATCGTTTCGTAACCAGTTATGAGATAAGCTTTAACTAGTTATAGCTTAAGCCGTAACATCATTGGGATGTCATTAGGACGTTATTAGGACGTCATTGGGACGATTCGGCTGCACCTCTACACTAGACATTAAATAATAAACTATTTTTCTGAAATCTCTATAAAAATGACATAATTCCAAGCATATCAATATACTTAAATATTAAAATTCTAATGCATATTTTACCTCCTAATACCAATTTTTTGATCTCTCACCTTATATCGGTTTATATTTAATCACAACACTTGAAATGCCTGAAAAAATGCTTGAAAAAAAGCATTACAGCTATTTTTCGATTGCTTTCTAATGCGTTAGTTACACTGGTGACTTTGACATATAACGTGATTACTAAAATATCTAGAATCTAACTTAAAATGTAAAGTAATTTAAACCATAATCAAATAACAAAAAAAAAAGATAATAAAACAAAAATAAACGGAATCCTGAATAAGGTTGTATTAAGCACGTTCAGAAATTTGAATTCAGAAGAAAATGGCAATATTTATTAAGAGAAAAAAAAACCTTCTACTACGCCGTTCAAAGACCTGCTATATTAAATTTATAGAATTGTCTAACGGCGTAACTGAAGGTTAAAAAATAACCGTAAATAAATAATTACTAATAATTCAGTTAAAATTGACTCCCTGAGTTTCTCTGTAATAAAGTGATTTAAAAATTAAAATTATCTTGAGCGGTTGATTTGTAATAGTATGCCATGCCCAACAAGCAATTAAAAAAAATCAAAGAAAGCTTATGAGGCAAAGGCACATAAGCATAATATTGATGCTAATAATTCTAAAGCAGAAAATTCTGATAACTTTTCTTATGATGAGGCGGTTAAAAATAACAATGCTGCAAGTATTGTAAAAAGACTTCAAGCTACAGCAAACAACTATTATAGCAACAATAATATACTAGAAAATTATGATAATGAAAGTTTTTTTGCTCATGATAAGCTAATTGAGATTGTGAATAATAATGATGAAGGCTTTGCAAAAAAACTTTTAAATGTAGCAAATACCTTTTATCGTGAAAGTGACTCTAACAAATCCTGTAAGCCACGTTACTTAAGAAACTCTACCTGTACTAAAAGAAGAAAGAGGCAACAACAGAGTGAAGCAGCAAAAGGAATGCCTATATTGTTTACCTTTTAGAATCAAGACAAGACTGTTGAAGAAAATGTTGAAGCAGAATTGTCTGACGATGGATGGCCAGATGAAGTCGATGAAGATGATACTGGAAGGCTATTAGAAGATGAGATTGAAACCTCTAATTGGTATAAAAGAATCCAAACTGCACTTGAAAACATAGTACTAGATATCAAAAATGAAAATGTAAATAGTGAAGTTTGGGTGCGTCTTAATAGTATTTACTTTTATCTTCAACTTATAAAGCACAATCATCGGAAAATGGAAGCAAGTAAGATAGTTGCAGATGCGGCAGGAAAAGGGTATACTATGCTAGGTGTATTCGTTCTTAGTCACATGAGTATGTTATGACCCACCAGATTCCTTATTCATGCCGAGGACACCATGCTAAGACGTGGAGCTTTCTTTGGGACGAAAATATTCTTCTTCAAATCAAGTCATATGTTCGAGAAAATAAGTAGAATATTACTCCACACATGATTATGCTACAAATGAATGAAGTTATTTTACCAGGGCTTGGATTTGCACCACCACCAACCATTTCTCTTAATACTGCAAAAAATTATCTGAATGAACTTGGTTATGTATATGAAAGAGTAAAAAAAAGGGATTTACATCGATGGACATGAAAGAGAAGATGTAGTGGCCTATCGAAAAATATTTTTAGAACGAATGAGTGAACTTGAACCTAGAATGCCTTTATTTTCAGGTGATGATATGGAAGTAGAAACCTGGCCAGATAGTAGTGTACAGCCCCTTATTTTTGTTACACATAATGAATGCATCTTTTCAGCTTATGATAGAAGTCGAAGTTTCTGGATTCCTGAAGGAGAACAATCTTTAAGAAAAAAAGACGAAGGACGTTCAATTCATGTTAGTGAATTTCTTACAGATGCTCGTGGCCGACTTTTGCTTCCTGAAGAAATGCAACCATCAGACACACTTCCTAGAGAAGCTTGTGTTATTATATACCCTGGTAAAAACAATGATGGATGGTAAAAATCTGAAGATTTGATTGAACAAGTATCAAACTACGCCATTCCTATATTTGAAGCCTGTTTTCCAGGATGTCAAGTATTATTTGCTTTTGATAATGCAAAAAGTCATACTACTTATACACCTGATGCACTTGTTACAAAGAACATGAACCTTAGTTCTGCTGGAAAACAAGAAAAAATGCGCAGCACATCATATTTTCGTGAGAGAATAAAATATGATCAAGATATGGTGTTTCCATTAGATTAACACATCTCTGAATTACGTGAAGAGGCTAAAGGATTAAAACAAGTTTTAAGTAAGAGAGGATTGTGGCCAGAAAAAGGATTGAAATTACAAGAAGCACGAGAATTAATGAGTCAACAGCCAGATTTTTTGGTACAAAAAAGGCAGTTAGAGGAAATTATTATTTCGGCTGGGTATCAAATTGTGTTCTACCCGAAATTTCATTGTGAGCTCAATTACATTGAGAACTTCTGGGGTGCTGCCAAAAAATATAGCCGGGCACATTGTAATTACTCATGGAAAGAATTACAAAGAACCGTTCCATTAGCTCTCGATTCTGTCCCACTTCCAACTATTCGTCGATATACAAGAAAAGCCTTTTGCTATATGGATGCATATCGAAAAAGTTTAAGAGGTAAAGCGGCAGAATTTGCAGTTAAAAAATATCGCTCACATCGCTGAATTCCTGAATATGCTTTAAGCTCAATTGAAGTTGATTAGTTGATGTTTCTTTTGCATAACAAATTTATTATTCATAAAATAAATACTTACCCGGTACATAGTGTTTTGGCAAAACCCAAAAAAGGTAATTAAATATTTTCTTTTTTTGGGTTTTGCCCAAAACACTACGTATATATAGCTTATTTCTTTTTTTTGAGCTCAATTTTAAACAATAAAATAATGTTTGAAGCTCAAATTATTAACTTCTTATAAATATGTACTGATGACCTGTATTGGACAGTATTGATATTGTTATCTAATTTAGGTTGTCTCCTTAAAGACCAAGTTTTACAAATCTTATTAAAGTTTAATAATGGTATCGATCTGAGCCCAATTGTGCTGTGAACGATTTGATTTAAATATTGAACTAATGTTTCACAAATCAGATGTACCTTTATCAATTAATACAGTTCAAATAACAATTGTAACTATCAATGCACGAGAACTTGCCTATGTGGTTAAAATAACTAATCTCTATTTAATTGTATTGGTTTAATATTACTTCAATATATAATTTAACCAAACTTTGCTGGTTTAATATTGTTTATCATTATAGATGGCAAATTGCTTATTTAATAGTATACTGATACACAAAAGTTCACGTATACACAAAGTGACCAAGTTTTAGTATATAGGGTGGCCAAATTTAGTATATATAGGGCGGCCAAATTGAGTATACATAGGGTGGCCAAATTTAGTATACATAAGGCGGCCAAATTTAGTATTCATATGGCAGCCAAATTGCTTGGTTTAATAATATATGTAGAGTGGCCAAATTGCTTGTTTAATTATAAAACTATCTTGACTTTAATTCTCTACTATTTTATTAAAAACAATTTTAAAAAAAATTTAAGACCACAAAGATGTTTAGTTTGGATAGTTTTAATGTTTTATGAAGAGATTTTTTGGATATTGTTTTTTGTAAACAAGGATTAGTATTTTGAATTTAGGTAAATTTATTTGTTGGGACTAGGTTGTTTGCACCATAGTAAAGCCATAAATAATACTTCAAAAATAAAACAAAAAAATAAATAAATAAATAACAAAAATAAAGAAAAACCTAAGTTTGTTACTATGAGTTGAGTTCTATTTATCAAAAGCTTATTCTAAGACAAAGCAAAAATTGAATTAAATTTTATCTACCAATAATTTTTAGAAAAATTTTCAAATTCCACATAGGCAGATTTTTGCTTTTTTCTCAGGGTATACGAAGCTGCCAAAGGTAGAATTTGTGCAGATTCAGCTATTTGATACTTTAGGTAACAAATGGTTCATTTTGCCGAATGTTTCAAATTTGAATAGTTGAATTGCTATATGCATCATCCTGCCTATTGATAAATTGAACTGTAGTAAAAAATATAAAATAAAATTATGTAAAATTTATAAAAAAAAAAAAAAAGAAATTCTTGTACAGATACAGCTATTTTAGAATCTGATACTCTAGGTAACAAATTTCAGAAATGTTTCATTTTGCCAAATGTTTTGAATTTAAACAATCAAATTGCTATATGTATTGTCTTAAGTAAATATAAAATGAAATAATGTAAAATTTATAAAAAAAAAAAAATGTTATATATATCATTATATCTATTGTATAAATTAAAAATGTAGTAGACAATAAAGATTCATAGAAATAAAAAAAAATATAAAGTCTTGCCACTCAAGCTAGTTTCTATTATAATATTCTCAATTTGATTCTTTATAAAAAATAATTCAACTACAAAACTATCAAATAAATAAGTATTTTCATAAAAATAATTTATTTAACAATGACCAATTTTGAATCTACTTACTTGGAGGAGTGTGATGCTTTGGAAGAAAACTATAAAGAGGTTTTCATAATTCATCTCATTGTTTTTGAAAGTGTGTAAACCTTAATATACAATAATGAAAGTGAAGATATTGACTTTGACAAAATTGAATCCGAAAATTCTGACCTTTATGAAAAACTTTTCTTGACAATAGATGATGAAATGGATATAGAAATTGAAGAGAGTTCTATTTCAAATCTGAATTTAACACCATATGTAGTTATAGATAGTTTTGAAGATGAGATAAAGTACTGCAATAGCACAACAAATTTATAGTGATTGCGACAATTAGTAGGAAAGAACTCCGAAAAACTCTGATACAACTTGGATTTAAGTTTGTATAAAGTTTGTATAAATTTGGCCAAATAGATATATAAAATAGGCAAAATTTAAAAATTTACTATATAAAAAAGCAATATTTGATGATTTTCTATACAAAATTTCCTTTTTT